TTTTTGAATTTTCTGAATTTTTTGAATTTCCTGACTTTTCTGAATTGTTTTCCTTTTAATTATGGTCCAAAGCTATCATCTCTATAGCTATCATCTCTTCTTGACACGCTGCTTAAAGAAAAACCCAAAATAACCAAATATTTTCTGAAAAGAAAAAATTCTTGGAAAAGACATTTCCTGAAAAGGATAATTCCTGAAAAGGATAGTTCCTGAAAAGGATGGTTCCTGAACGGGATAATTTCCTGAAAAGGATAATTTCTGTTAAGAAAACTTACCAAACGAAAAAACATTCCACCTAGGATCTAAACTCAAAATGTTTGTTTCGCAATTTTATTTCTTATATTCAATCGTTGTCTGGATTCCTTCCTTCACACTATAAGTTCTATAGCTTTGGATATTTTAAAAAAAAGAGAGTGGGACGCCACCAGGTCCCCAAAAATACGTGGTTTTAAGCGTTTTTTTGACTATTGTATGCTTCTTTTTCCTCTTTTGATCATATATGAAAGATCAAAGTTCTTGGGAGATGTACTGTTTTTGGTTTGTTAATCCTTAGCTCTATTCTTGGTTGCTTGCTTTTTGTAGCTCTATTGTTTTCTGATAGGTGGTCTTAGTGCATGAATGGCAAAGTTCTTTGCCCAACAACATCTTGAAACATAGAGATTCATTGTGTCAGGTGGTACTTCATGTATATATTAATGTATAGGTACCACCTAGGTATACAGCTATTGCAAAGACGGTATATATATATACATGTACATAGGACTTTGCATGTGCATTGGTGGCTTTTGATATTGGACTTCCAGGTCGCCTTTTGGTTGACATCATAGTTCCAGTGGAACTCTTTTAGCAAATGAAAGTGCAAATTCCAATCTACTGTCCCTCCTCAAGTAGTTGCATTTTTTTGCATGCTTCATGGTAACTTGCTGCATCAATGAAAAGCAAGGCAGCCATTCTATAGATACAGTTGCTTGGCAAGGTTGATTAAGTGGTTCCTTTACTTGGTCATGTGCCCTTCTGGTTACCATGATGAACTTATACTGACATAGTTTAAGTTTTGCCCACAGCCATGAGTACATTTATGATAATAAAAGTCTGCCGTTATATTTGCAATGACACAGCAAATTACCATGGAATATGCAGGTAAAAACACCCTTTCTGAAGCAAGGGGGAAATGGAAGTGCCCCTGGAATTTGCCAACTCTTGTGATCAATCAATATTTTAAGCAAAGATCTTTTACTGCATTGAAACCTGGAAGAATACCATTGCATATGCAGGAAAAATGTAGAACACTTGTGCCTGTAAGGGCATAGGTGACTTATATGTCACCCATTCCATAACTGTATGTACTATATAAGAAAATGTATACATAACATAGTTGCATTCTAAGTGCGTATGCAGCTTGGATGTGTTGACACAGCAAATGGCTATGGTACCCGCAAAAAAATGTTGCTTTTATCACAAAATACCCTCTAGATATCAGTGCATGTTTGAAGCTGCCATGTCTACTGTATATATATATATATGCTCATACTGCACACTTGCGACAATGCGCTTGCATACTGGTTGAAACCATTCACCCACTAAAGCACAAACAACCCCTGAAACTGTTCATACAGTTTACAGATCAAAGAACTAAGAACAAGAGTGAGTATTGATCAAAAGGATGGAGAAGGGACCCCTTTCCATATGAATGCATTCTGGGAGCTGCTACTTCCTAGTCCCACGTGTTATGTCATAGCTGTTTTCTGTCAAGTTTTATAAACAGTCTTACCTCTTTTTAGGTGTTACTCATCCTGCCATCAAAAATCATAAAAGCACAGCCAAGCAATTATGGTAACAGGGTACCTGGATTAGATATGCAGTGGCATAGCAAATTACGGTGAAATATACAGGAAATATTTTTTTGGAGAAAGTGTAAGTTGGAGCTGTCCTTGCCATGCGCCAACCCTTATGAGCAAAGTCAGTTGCAACCAAAGAGTCTTTATTGCAATCAACCCTGGAAGAATTCCATTACATATGCAAAGTACATGTGGAAAATATGTGTACGTATTGGTATGTGCTACTTATGTACCATCCATATCATAGATGCATACAGTAGTACTACCAAGAAAAATGCAAGTCCATCAATTTTTATAGGAGGGCTATATATAGGAGGGCTAGGAGAGGGGAGAAGCTCGAAAAAAAAACGCTTCTTTTCCTTGGCCACCTCCCCCTAAGGGAAGCCATATATATATGTATACACACTATGTTTGTTTTTCCTCCTTCCTTTTCCCTGGGGATCTTCATGACTCTCTGGACATTCTTTGGCAACCTCTGAGGAAGTCTGACAATCTGTGTGGGTCTCTAGCGATACCATCACAGGTATATGAACATAAAGGATCGAACATGATGTAGCAAAAACACTGCATTCCCAGAAACGTGGAAACATGGGGAACTGACAGCGTCCTTTTCTGAAAAAAAAGGCTATAATAAGTTCAAATAAGTTTTAGGATACGTTATGATAAGTTCGATTACGTACTGATATTTTCATTAAATGCCTGAAGCGAAAATATTTGAAATTAGTGGTCTCAGTTCTCTGTCCGGCGCAACCCTCTGCGGAGATCGTGCATGTCAGACGCGCAAACGTGTGGTGAAATGCGAGTTTTTTGGTGGCCGGGCAAGACCCTTTCGCACGAAACGAGGGCCGAAGGTCAAGAACTGGTGTAAAATTCCAAGTGTGGAACTTCAAACGCAACCCTTTCGCACGAAATCAGGCCGAAGGGCAAAAACTTGTGAAAAAATTGAAATTTTGCAACGTCACAAAGGTACTCCGTTGCAAACGTTCTCTGTGGGTAAAAGCTTCTGTGTCTAACACCTCTGTGTGTAAAAGCTTCTGTGTGTAAACACGTCTGTGTGTAAAAGCTTTCGTGTGTGTAAGCGCGTCTCTGTGTAAAAGCTCCTCTGTGTAAAGACTTCCCTGTGTAAAAGCTTCTGTATGTAAACGCCTCTGTGTGTAAAAGCTTCTGTGTGTAAAAGCTTCTGTGTGTAAAAGCTTCTGCGTGTAAAAGCTTTTGTGTGCAAACGCCTCTGAGTGTAAAAGCTCCTCTGTGTAAAGACTCCTCTCAGTAAATGCCGCTGTGTGCAAGAGCCCCTCTGTGTAAAAGCTTCTGCGTGAAAACGCTCCTCTGTGTAAAAGCTTCCGTGTGTAAAAGCTCTTCTGTGTAAAAGCTTCTGCGCGCACAAGTTCCCATGTGTAAACGCTTCTGTGTGTAAAAGTTTCCATGTGTCAAGTTCAAACACCTCTGTGGGTAAAAGCTTCTGTGTCTAAAAGCTTCTGCGTGTAAAAGCTTCTGCGTGTAAAAGTTCCCATGTGTAAACGCGTCTGCGTGCAAAAGCTTCTCTGTGTAAAAGCGTATGTGTGTAAAAGCTCCTCTGTCTAAAGACTTCTCTTTTTTGCGAAAAGCTTCTGTGTGTGTGTGTGCGTGTGGCGTAAGCTCCTTTGCAAAAGGCTTCTGTGTGTAAACGTGTCTGTGTGTAAGGGCCCGCCTGTGTAAAAGCTTCTGTGTGAAAGCTCCTCTGTGTAAAGGATAGTCTGTGCAAAAGCCTCTCTGTGTAAAAGCGTCTGTGTGTAAGAACTCCTCTGTGTAAAGGCTTCTCTGCGCAAAAGCTTCTGTGTGTGTGTGCGTAAACGCTTCTGTGTGTAAAAGTTCGTCTGTGTAAACGCGTCTGTGTGTAAAAGCTGCTCTGTGTAAAGACTTCTCTGTGTAAAAGCTTCTGTGTGTAAAAGCTTCTGCGTGTAAAAGCTTCTGTGTGTAGAAGCTTCTGCGTCTAAAAGCCTCTGCGTGTAAAAGCTTCTGTGTGTAAACACGTCTGTGTGTAAAGGCTTCTGTGGGTAAACGCGGCTGTGCGTAAAAGCTTCTGTGTGTAAAGACTTCTGTGTAAAAGCTCCTCTGAGTAAATGCGTCTGTGTGCAAGGGCCCCTCTGTGTAAAAGCTTCTGCGTGAAAAAGCTCCTGTGTAAAAAAAATCTGTGTGTAAAGCTTCTCTGTGTAAAGACTTCTGAAGTTTCTGTGTGTAAAAGCTTCTGTGTGTAAAGGCTTCTGTGTCTAAAAGCTTCTGCATGTAAAAGTTTCTGTGTCTAGAAGCTTCTGCGTGTAAAAGTTCCCATGTGTAAACGCATCTGTGCGTAAAAGTTTCTGTGTCTAAACGGGTCTGTGTGTAAAGGCTCCTCTGTGTAAAGACTTCTCTGTGTAAATGCTTCTGTGTGTGTGTAAGCTCCTTTGCAAAATGTTTCTGTGTGTAAACGTGTCTGTGCGCAAGGGCCCCTTTGTGTAAATGCTTCTGTGTGAAAGCTCCTCTGTGTAAACGCGTCTGTGTGTAAAAGCCCCACTGCATAAAAGCTTTTCTGTGTCAGATTTCTGTGTGTAGAAGCGCCTCTGTGTAGAGACTTCTCTGTGTAAAAGCTTCAATTTGTAGAAGCTCCTCTGTGTAAAAATGTCTCTGTGTAGAAGTTTCTGCGTGTCAAAGTTCTTCTGCGTCAAGACTTCTCTGCGCAGAAGTTTTTTGTATAATTCCCTTGCTTCATCGCAGTCATCTGAGTAGACGCCATGGGGAAGCACGAATTTACATACGATAGAATACCTTCATAATCATTCAGTATACAATCATCAACCATTATGCATCCACAACCTCATTCATCATTCATCATCATTCATAACCCTTCGTCAGCATTCATCATCATTCATATTCATATTTTCTCTTCCATCCTCTTTTTATATCCGCCCTCCTGCTTTTCTTTCAGGCCACACTGCCGTCTAGCTTTTGAAGTGCGAAAAGACAATGTGACATCCGACACGGCCTTCAGAGAGGAGAATAGAAAATTGCACTTTGATAACTGTACTGTATGTATGTGGGATAGTTAGCAATTGAACAAAACGACTCTACCAAGTGGAAAAAGTAGAATAACAGGTAGGGCCTATGTCACGTCAATGCTTGGTCGATCTTGTTCAGCAGCTGAACCAGGTTCAAGAAGAAGACAGGCCCACCTGGCGGGATGTTCTATTGCTATCTATTGCTTTCTTGAAATTGTAACCAGCAGGTGCTGTCAAAACAAGTTCACGCTACCCGCCAGCCTGTTCCAGGCTGTGATGTGTTGACCAACAAGAAAGCTTGCTTCAAGTTAGAGGCCTCGAAGTGTGGAACGGTATTTTGTTTCGCTGCAAGTGAACTTCCCGGCCACAGCAACGTGTGAGACAATGGGAAACCGGCAACGTTGCTTAAAATCAGCATGGGTCAATGGTAACAGGTAGAAAGACGGTCTGCTTCAGGTTTTTACAGTAATGCAAATTTGGCAGGAAACTAGGACGCTTCCAAAATATTCAGTACGTGCTTCAAAAGCCACGTTGAAAAGAGTTGTTCTATGTTGTTCTCAGAGAAATCAAACAGGTCCCAAACGTTTCTCCAGGGGTCGTAAGCGCAGCAGGGGCAAAGCCCCGATTTTACCAAGTCATCAATGTGAAGATATCGCGCGCATAGTTCAAAAGGCATAATAAGTAAGGTCTCGTTTTAGGCCTTTCGGGATGGGAAACCAAACAGCAGGACGCAGTGGCGAAGACGAAGAAGATACTCTCAGCAAACTCGGAGGCAGATCCCTCGTGCTCGAAGTTACACATTGATTGCAGAAGCCGTTTTGCACCAATTTGATTTGCGCATAATCTGACAATTCCAGAAAGGCATTCAGGACATTTCAGGACATATGTGGGAACAGGTTGCCGATTTCTTTTGTAAGGCAGGGGTTTCCTGTGAGTGCCTAATGGAAGACCAAGACTTTGGCAGCTGCGCCCTCAGCAAGTGCAAGTGGATTTGTTGCGTGTACTCCGTTTCATGTATGTATCTTACAGTCTCCGTCCCATACTTGAAGTGTTGTTCCTGGCATCTTAAATTACTGTAAATGGATTTCTTGATTCTGAAAGTTGAATATATTGAAAGTGATGGCACGTATTTTGCCGCCCTCTTGCTGCCACAGCTGCCGCGCCTGCTAGCTGCTGACGTTGATGCCGCTGGTGGTGCCGGCGCTAGCACAAAATTCCAGTCCATCCCACGGCTGCGCATGTAGCGACAGCATCAGCAATATCTCCCCCGTCAACAATGGCTGTGCTTTGTACTCATCCTCTTCTTTGGTAGAAACATGTATATAGAAACCATCCTAGGCTCTTCTGCTGCATCATACCCGTTGCTTGCTTCTTGATTACCATTGTCGGCTTTCTAGCTTTGATTGCCGTGACACCTGTGATAAGTGCCAAGGCAATGTCGATAGGGACACCTTTCTGGACATGTGCAAGCCGATGATGAGGAAGGCTGGTGGCCGAATAGAGAGATTTAGAATGATATAGATACACATTGGCAGAATGTGGCATCAAGGTGTTGTACAAGGTGTTGCAGAAAAGAGCAGATATCTTTAGATCTTACTCTCACAAGCACGCACGTAGATTGCAGAATTTTGTTGCCATATATATATATAGAGACTAACTCGCAGCAGGACCAATCCGACAGCGTTCTACGCAGTTTCAGATTTTAATGACGGTGCTGCGAGGTGAGCGACGTCCTCGAAGCTGCAAAAGCTGCATGCAACATGAGCGTTTCTTCCATAGATGCTGCTGGCTCCCAAGAGGTCCCAAGATGAGCACACTACCTCTGTCTAGCACATACTGTATCAACGATCTGGGATCAAAAGCTCAACAGGGCATGAATCTGCATTCTTATCATGGAAATTGTCGGCTGCCCAGGTGGAGATTTGTGGTGGGGCTGCTCGAGTTCCATGGGTCAAGGACGAGATAAGAGTCTCAGAGTCGCATCATACCTATCCAAATTATAGCTATGACGTCACCCGAAGGCGCCGCAAAATTAGACTTAATCTGCTGAAACAAAAGCCCCCCTGCCATTGCATGTTCTTCCAGGGTTTGTGGGCGCGCGCGTGCTGCGCGTTCCGCCCCTGCATGTCGGCGCGCAGGCTCCAGATGCACTTAAGACGTCTTCAAAATAATAATAACATTTGGGGGGCACAGGGATACGCCAAATTGCACCGGAAAAAAAAAATGTTTTTTTGGGCTAGCAAATTGCATCTGGCACCGTCCCAGCCAGCTCTGCGACGAGACCCCGGAGGGAACTATTGGGAATTGTTTCTAACGCTGCCCTCTTCTCTTTCGAGTCCCGGCCATCAATCCAGAATGTTTCTCCTGGCACAATACAAAAACTTTATGCAACAATATGTTTTTCTATCCCTTTAAGGTTTCAAACTTCAGTGGGTGATAGTGGATGTGTTTTTTCGGATCTAGCTAAAAGCAATTGCATGCGTGACAGCGATTAAAACATATAAAAACCCACTGCGTGTCGAAACCGGGTGCTTAAAAAATCTCACTAAAAGCATTGCAGGGTGCGCCAGGCGGACAGGCAAGCGGCCAGACATGCCAAATTAGAAAACATGCACCCGTAGCTTCCGATAAAAACATACAGTCAGCGTAACTTCCCCAATGCGTTGTCTGCCCTGAAACAAACACCAAAAGATTCCTACAGTTACGGCATTTAACAGTTATAAATGGAATTATAGCTCTTGGCATTAAGCTTATATCATTTAAATGAGGTATACGGTAAAAATAAGTTATAGCTGTTAAGGGCTTTGGCTGCACTTAAGACCCAGAAAAACATTGCAGATTCTTAGTGGTATTCCTGTTGCAACCAGATCCTCTGCGCACAGTGTGGAAGCCGCTAAATGCATACAAGATACCTTTGGCTGCTAAATGATCATAAACATCCTTTCGTGGCGGCCTGCGTGCCGACATGCGTGCCAAACGCAGCGTAGTGTGTGCTAAGTGGCGGGGCATCTAAGCATGTCAAGTCTTTTATTTCCTGCGTTTGCAGATTGCAAGTCGCAGCTTTACACTCCGCTTAGATATGAATCAAGCAGTGGCTGCACGGATCCTTTGGCAATTCTTTTGGATTTTCCACGCGCCAAATTGCCCCCTCTATGCCCCACTTTTGTTCACTGCTTACGCTTCTTGTTCCTGATTTGGTCAGCGGGGTCGTTTCTAGTTTCATGGCTACGATGGACAAGCACCCTGTAGGTTCATGGTGGCAATGGAAAGCAATCCTGCTTCAGATAACTGCATCTGCTTTTGCTTTCGGCGGGCAGGAGATGTGTTCTAAAGCCTTTGGTGGGAAAGAGCTGTCAACGACAATGAACGCAGACGAATGTGTCGCACGAGGTTGAAGGGCCGGGAAGATTGAATCGGGCCGGACGTGATTGGCATCGCGCTTTGAGACTCATGACACATGTGAACCAAATATTCTTGCACAATCGTGCGCAGGGAGCAGCAAATTCGAATCTTGAAAGCACGGATGATACAACAATTTCGTCACTGCACATTCCAACCTCCCACTTGCACACATGTTGTGAGGGTGCGCTCTTCAAGCAGCCATACTGTCACCTCTCTACAAAGTGCGGGAATTCAAAGTCGAGGACGTATGCTCTATCAATTTGCAAATTCAATCACCGATAGCTGAGCTGTCCATTCTGCTTAGCTTAGCAGTCGTCAGCTTGGCAACAAATATGAAAAGTGTGAGTATGCCTTGTACGGATTGTACTAGCACTTGTGCATCACATTAACTTCATTTTCTTCTAGCTCGTGGACGATGGCCTGGCCAGAATGGTAGTTTTTGCTCTGGTTTGCCAACGTATTTGTGTCGGGGGCTGCCAACGAAAGTGTTCCCAACTCCAGAATTCACGGGTGTTCACTGGCGGCTAAGCACGCCGCTGTTGTGTAGGAGTGTGGTTTTCCCTGGCTTTTGCCAGGAAGGGGTTGCAAAAGAGCGTTGCAAAGAAATGTCGTCAGTATCTATGATGCTAATTGTTCGTTTTTAGGATCTGGTTTGGGTGTTTATTTGCAACTTGGTTTTTTTCAACTATTGGGCTGATGCTTGCTTGCCGTTGTCATCCATCATCCCTGCTCACCACACCACTTTAGGGAAGCCCTGATCCTTTCTATTCCACGGCTCAGCCTTGTCAGTATATATGACTCCTTGGACTGTGCCTTCATCAGGGTTTCAAGAGATGCCCTACATGCCAGTTGCTACTTGGATCCAATGTGTTGTTTCCATGGCTGATATTCCAGAGTTTTCGGTTCCAACGCCTGAAAATCGAGGTGCAACCCCTATTGCAAAACATTCCCAAGGATCCCGAGTTTTGAGCGGCGGCGGTCAACCATCAGTTTTGGTGGTGTTTTTACTCTGTCCGAAGTTTGAAAAGGTTGCAGCAGTAAAGAAATGCATGACAGAGGGAGTGGAGACAGGATTTGTCTAGACCTGGCTGCATCATAGTTTCTTCGCCCCCTGCCCCCTGCATTTCGTATTGCTGCTTCTTGTTTTTTACTTGGAACCATCTGGAACCTGTCTCCCCCTGCCTCCTCTTCTTAGTTCTCCGCATCCCTCTTGGAAATGAGACGGGTTGACCCAAGAATGTGATATTCTAGCAAAGCAATCATGCCTTGCAAGAAAGTCAGATGCACCAACCCTTTCACGGTGACTCGTACGACTATCATCTAAAAACAATATCTATGTACATGTGTACAGACTTATGGCTAGTTAAAGATATGTGATCTGGGCCATTCTGGGCCCATAGGTGATGTAATAAATACATGGTGTAGCATGTAAGAGTCTCATTATGTTGTAGACTTGTTTTTATTTATACATGTTAATATGTATACGTACATTGGTATGCGGAAGTATTTGATCATCTGTACCGGTAAAGCTCAATGTAATTTAATGTTATACAGTTATACTGTTTTACTGTGTGCTAGTTGATATTTATATTTATATTAGTATATATATATATATTGTATATATATGTATATTTGCTGTATACATATACAGATACATATCACATGTATATATATATGATAGATGTGTCTTCTGAATATATGATTGTATATGTATATATATATACATATATTGATACAGGCAAGTACATCTGTGTAATATATGTGTATTGTTTTTTATATGCTGCTGCTTCAGATGACGTCGTTCGCTACCTCGCTCGTTCTGTGGGTAGGTTTGGCCGGCGATTTAAAGGCGAGAAGTTGTTATTCCCGGCGGCCAAAAACAAAATTTCCATTGTACACACTTGTTCTCTCGCGCCGCCAGGAGTATGAATAGAACGAAGGCGGCCACAATTTACAAGGAATAAATTATTAAAGTCCGATTCCGCAACTTCTCCGGATTGCGCAACAAGGATGGCGCAACTCTTTGGTCGGATTGCGCAGCTAAGATTGCGAAACTTGGCTTGCCCAACCCCCAGGATTGCGCAACTCCGCTTGCGCAACTTCCAGGATTGCGCAACTCTCTTTGCGCAAGTCGTGGGAATGCGCAACTCTGCCTGCGCAACTGCTTTTGACAGATTGCGCAACTCCCAGGATTGTGCAACTCTGCTTGTGCAACTGCGCTGGACGGATTGCACAGCTCTGCAACTACACTTCCTCCAAACAATTCCAGCCCCCATAGAACTTGAAAATGGCACGTGCCGTCCACAAGAGCAAGACGTTATCAAAATTCCCACCCCCATGGAACTTCAAGCTGACTTGGAGTGTCCACAAGGTTAAGACGATATCAAAGTTCCCACCCCATTGGAACTTCAAACTGACTTGGAGTCTCCACAAGGTTAAGATGATATCAAAATTTTCACCCCCATGGAACTTCAAACTGACTTGGAGTGTCGACAAGGTTAAGATGATATCAAAATTTCCACCCCATGGAACTTCAAACTGGCTTGGAGTGTCCACAAAGTTAAGATGATATCAAAATTCCCACCCCCATCGAACTTCACATTGACTCGGAGTGTCTACTGATACCAAAATTCCCACCCCCATGGAACTTCAAACTGACTTGGAGTGTCCACAAGGTTAAGATGATATCAGAATTCCCACCCCCTTGGAACGTCAAACTGACTTGGAGTCTCCACAAGGTTAAGATGATATGAAAATTCCCACCCCCATGGAACTTCAAACTGACTTGGAGTATCCACCAGGTTAAGACGATATAAAACTTCCCTGTTAAGATGATATCAAAAGTCTCACCCCGATGGAACTTCAAACTGACTTGGAGTGTCCACAAGGTTAAGGTGAAATCAAAATTCCCAGCCCCATGGAACTACAAACTGACTTGGGGTGCCTGCAAGGTTAAGATGACATCAAAATTCCCACCCCCATGGAACTTCAAACTGACTTGGAGTGTCCACAAGGTTAAGATGATATCAAAATTCCCACCCCCATGGAACTTCACATTGACTCGGAGTGTCCACAAGGTTAAGACGATATTCAAATTCCCACCCCTATGCAACTTCAAACTGACTTGGAGTGTCCACAAGGTTAAGATTATATTAAAATTCCCACCCCTATGGAAATTCAATCTGACTTGGAGTGTCCACAAGGTTTAGACGCAAAGTTCCCATCCACATGGAACCTCAAACTGACTTGGAGTGCCTACAAGGTTAAAATGATATCAAAATTCCCACCCTCATGGAGCTTCAAACTGACTTGGGGTCTTCACAAGGTTAAGATGATATCACATTTCCCACCCCCATGGAACGTCAAACTGACTTGGGGTGTCCACAAGGTTAAGATGATATCAAAATTTCAACCCCATGGAACTGACTTGGAGTGTCCACAAAGGTAAGATGATATCAGAATCCCCACCCCTATGGAACGTCAAACTGACTTGGAGTGTCGACAAGGTTAAGATGATATCAAAATTCCCACCCCGATGGAACTTCAAACTGACTTGGAGTGTCCACAAGGTTAAGATGATATCAGAATTCCCACCCCCTTGGAACGTCAAACTGACTTGGGGTGTCCACAAGGTTAAGATGATATCAAAATTCTCACCCCCATGGAACTTCAGACTGACTTGGAGTGTCCACAAAGTTAAGATGAAACCAGAATTCCCACCCCTATGGAACTTCAAACTGACTTGGAGTGTCTACAAAGTTAAGATGATATCAAAATTCCCACCCCCATGGAACTTCAAACTGACTTGGAGTGTCCACAAGGTGATAAACGTTGGATTGTGAAACTTGGACGTCGCATTCTGAGACTTGAGGCTTTGCTTTTGAAACTTGGAGTTTCACTGTTTCCTGATCTGTCTTCAAAGTTTCGCAGTACCCGTGAAACAATCTCCCCCTAAAGTTTCACCTTCTCTCTGCAGACTTTCACAATACCAGTTTCGCAATCCGTCCCCATAGTTTCACAATCCGTCTTCAGATTTTCACAATACCAGTTTCATAATCTGACCCCAGAGTTTCACAATCCGCTTTTAGAGTTTCACAGTACGAATTTCACAATCCGTGCGGCAAGTTTCACAATCCAACTGGCAAGCTTCACAATCCAAGTTGCACAATCCGTCTGGGAAGTTTCCCAATCCGACCGGGAAGTTTCACAATCCGACGTTGACCATTTACAAGGGTTCCACGTTGTCTTTTGTTTTCTTGAAGATGTTGGAACACGCCTCATTCAAGAAGCAATGTATAGTTCATTGTTGCTTTTGGGTTGCGTTTGAGGGGAAAGGCATGATTTGGGCATTACTTTTTTTGAAACTTCGATCATATGGTGGAAAGGCACGTTTCCAGGACGCAGGCGTCACTTCTCCTTAGGCATGAGTTTCGGGCATCCCTGTATACGTCTGTTTTCACTTCAAATTTGGCGAGCAACTTGTTGTCCACGTCGCTATCCAATCCCACCCTTAAGATGTCCAGTGCTAAAAGGACAGCACACGGTTTCCAATCAGCTGGGAACCTCAGTTACAACCTTGAGGTGACTGGTTGCTGTTTGTCGCGAGGTAGGATATGCTTTCCTAAGTGAACAGTCAGGTTTGCCGAAGCTTTGAATAATCTCTGGTTTTATCGTCTCCACCGCCTCATGCGCAAGGTCTTGGGTGGCAGATGCCTGATGGGAACAACGGCGCTGCCAAGGCTTCTTCACTGAGAAAATGATTAGTCAATGATTAGTCCTTGAAACGATTTGCTTGGTATGCTTATATAGTGCCCAGGGTTAGAGAATCTCTTTCGGGTGCTGCGTGGCGCCGTACCATTCTGGATATTTTGCCGGTCTTATCACCATGCAGAACTACAAACAAAGAGCCAACGTTTTTCAGACGATTTTCGGCCCTATCCGCTCGTCCAAAATATTTTTCCGTTTAGCGCGATGCTTGGAGGCCATGTCTTCCGTTGTGTTCGCCGAGGACTCTGTCATGAATTTCATGAAGGCAGCCAACACGCATGAATTTTCCGGTTGTTCACATAAAATAGTTCTGGCTAGGGCTCACATTGCTGCGGTCTTTATCCTATGATGCAATCGCCGCGCATTGGGGTGCAGTGGATGGTACATGGTTCAGATGAGTCTGGACACAGCATATCACAGCACAGTGTTCTTAATTTGAAGCAGACTAAGACATTTGTAGCTTGTACTGTGTTGTATCATGTTGTATCTGAATCACGTACACCCGCTTTACAAACTCTAACATGCGTCGATGCGTGTTCAAGAAAGGGCTTGTCGAACGAAAGTCACGTTGGAAATTGAACATTTACCTCAAGGGTTTCCCGGTGCAGCGATTCTTGAGATATCCTGAGGGAAGGAATGACACGATGACAAAAGTTCAACAAGTATCACGAGAATCAAACATGATAAAAGGTTATATATATATATTTATATATGAAAAGGGGGTGCCTGGATGTGCCTGGCCAGAGGGTTTCCTTGTGTACAACTCCAAGCAAAACTATCAGGCCAGACCAGACGAGGTTTGAAAATATAGCTTAGCAGCTAGCAGATGACACGCATGCGATGACCCGCAAGCAAAGCACCCATATCGAAAGTTGGACATGTTTGCTACGACTACTAGCTGATGCTGGCTGAACTCTTGCTAGATTTGTGATTGGACCATCAATGCGCTGAAGGTCATCACTTTCAGACGCAGGGCACCTTTCGAGCTCACAGCAGCATACGCAGATGAGAAGTTGCTTCCAAATGGCACTCCCAAGGCTTGATGGGAAACTAAAAGCTTGTTTGAAAGCACATGTCAAGCAACGAGTTTGTAGACTTTATGACCCTTCAGCAGCGTTCCAGACATGCATCAGCTACTACTTCCTGTGGTACTAGTACGAGCATCAAGATGATTCAAATTCAGATATTGATTCAATGTTCTGTTTCTTGTGGGCATTGCTTGCTTCAGGGACGGGGTGACGCCATACTTCGCAATGTTGTGCCATACCAGTAAATATACTTCACGGACATACTGTCCTGTGGTTATCCTATGGTCGTCCTATGGTCTCCTGTTGGCCTATGTTGCTTTGCTCTTGGCCGGGGCATAGCATTTTATTTGCCCTGTGTGGAATTATCGTGGTTTTCGCACAGTTTGTCGTTCTTTTTCGGGTCTCTTTGCGGCTCTTGGCCAGCTGGACTGGGAAGGTGCCCTTGAGCCTTTGGCTCCTAAAGGCTAGTAGATGCTAGTGGTCTGGTCAAGCTTTGGTCGGCTGGGTCCGTCAGTTTGATGTCACAAAGGGGCATCGACAAAGGAGAATTCATTTACCTCAAGGCACTGCGGCAGCTTTCCCTGTTCCCTGCCTACAGGATCTTGGCACCTACACCATTGATGTGCCGGTCCAGGATGCCCTTAAAAAGGTAAAGGTAAGGGACCTGGCAAACACAGTCAACCAAAGCTCCTTGTGGCCTTTCAGTCGCAAGGTCAAGACAGCTTTGACTCTTCATGGCACCTTTTGCGTGACTCAGCAGCAAGATCGGCTGCAGTGCACATGGCGCGCGACAACATCAATCATTCGGAAGCTACTGTTGAATTTAACAGGCTGGGCTTTACATAGATGACGATAGTCCTCGTTTCCTAATTGTTCCATAGCACATCAACTCACGACTAACCAACAACAAATCTGTATGAACATTTTGAGTCTTGCCCCCGCTCGCTGCGTGTGGGTCATGTTCATGGTTGGTAAGGGGCAACCCTAGACCTCAGTAGCTGTAATTCCTTCATTTTCTAGCTCATCGATGCTCATGGTGCATACGGAAAAGGAAAATGCTCACGACCGCTTTCATTTTGGGGCACAGATCTTTAGTCTTGTGAGCAATGTCCACTTCTTCTCGGAACGCACAGTTGCAGTAGCTTAAAAAGTCACAGCGAAGTAGCCAAAGCGCGGCGGTGCAATTTGCATATCGGTATTGATACAAAGGTCCTTGGAAGAGGCTTTATATGATTGCAATGACCGCGCTTCTATCCCTCACGGAAGATTTGCGAAAGTCGTATATCATAAAGCAGCAATGGATATACAATCAGTATGAACCAATACAAATATGACCTATGGACTAATCACTTCTCCCTATTGCTAAGTGTATATAGCCGAATTTTAAAAAATCAGGGTTCTTTTTCAATTCTGGAAATTTCGGATTGGCCAATTTGATCTTTAACTGACTCTCTTTAGAAAACAATTTAAACATGAAGTTCTCATGTGAGGGTTTCACCCCCTAAGAATGAAAACTCGTCAACACTGGGCTGCTTTAATGAGTGAGAAACCTGAGCAATCCTGAGCTAACAGCTCAGGTGCAAGGTGCCCATATTGTGGAAGAGCTTGAGGGTCTTGAGGCAGGGAATGTTACAGGCGGATGAAAGAATTGAAACGCGCTTCTCAACATTCTAGAATTCAGAAATTTTAGAACTGAGCGAAATTTGACGCCAATGCTTTGATAAGTTTTGTGTGGGAAGATGAATCAAGTGATGCTGATGCCCAGTCCGACTGAACGGAGCTTTATTGTCCAATAAGTTGCAAAAGATTTACAGAGATTATAGACATCAATATGTGAAGGAATCGGGGCTTCATTTGGGCTTGGACAACAAAGGTATGGCAACAAAACCAGCAACTTCATAGAAGGAGCGACACAAGATCGCTGATGGCTTTCAGCAGGGTTCCTTGTGGTGACCACTCGCCACGGGAGCGAAAAAGACCCGGAAGTTACCTGGGCAAATCGTGGATCTGTAGAAGTCGGCAATTTTCAAGAACTGTTCCTGCGCTTTCCACCAGTTTGTCTCCTGTCTTGTGTCATTTTTCCTCATGTTCTGGGCGACACCTGTCAGTGCGTGTATGAATCTTTTCAAGGAACGCAGATTGCTGCTATCTCACTGTACCAACATGGTACTGGCCTTCCATGTTCAATATATTTTTATATATACATACATATATATATATATATGGGTTTCTCCATTGCACCTGTCATGGCCTTTTATTAAGGCCTTTGAGTTCATAAGACTTTCTTATATACACCAGTTCTTTCAGGAAGAGGATGCACCTGCGGAGGCTTCAGAAGATCACGAGGACTGGAATGTGTTGCGAGCGCAAGTGTCACCTGAAAGAAACATGGTGCTGGAATGTGATGATATGCTACAGTGCCTCCCGGAACACGGAACAGAGATTGCTGGCCACATCCGTGGTACAAGGCCTCCAGGAAACGAAAAAAGATCAGACGTGTCGACCTACACATTTCAAAGAAAGGTTGCTGGGGCCCCGGATGCAAAGTCTATTGGAGAGCATTTGCACGTGTACCTCTGACTGCCCATACACCTAGGTTGCCAGGTTGTTTCTTGCAGCCATATTTTAGAAAATATTCGTGGGCCACAAGGCCCGTGCACAGTCTACTTTGCGCTGGTGCTTGAGACCCTTTCAAAAGATGCCACAAGGTCAAGACAGCAAGCTTTGAAGTGTGAGTGTAGAGGTCATTTTCAACTCTTACCAGGGGTACATTGGTTGGGCGTTGATTGGGCATGAATTCTGCTATGCCATCCAATTCCTATAAGTGTACAGCTCCTGGGCAATGCTTTCCCTGCTGCAAAAACTAGTGCCATTGCTGCGCCGGGTGCAATTCGCTGAGGTCCAGGACTTGGAGAGGAAGCGTGCGAACCTCAGAGGCTCTCTACTGACACGGGTAAGACGCTGCTCCCTGCGCCGCATGTTTGCAAAATATGCGTCTCACTTATTCCCCAAACAGCGCATCCACACTGAGGGTTCTTGCAGTAAGGGTTAAGGCCGGTGCTTGATCAGGGTGCTTCATCCGGAGTTGCGGCTTTTTTTCTGTAAATTCCCGCATACAATGGTTCTTGTGACTGTCCACATGCAGTTCGACTGTGCAGGCTCGCGCAAAACGGTTGTCGTGGTCCTGGGGCACGTCATTTTCCCTGAGAATTCGTGCGTAAATTGGCTCCTGTGGCATGTCCAAGTACATTTCAACTGTGCAGGCTCGCGCAAAATGGTTGTTTCATGTTGTTTCGGTCCTGGGGCGCGGCATTTTCCTGAGACTTCTCGTGTAAAATGGTGTTGTGATGTCTCCTTCTGCATTTCGACTGCGGAGGCTCGCGTAAACTCTGCCGCTCGAGCTTTCCTTGATTCCCCAAACAGCGTGTCCTGACTGGGGTTCTCATGGTAAGGCTCAAGGCCGGTGCTTGATCAGGTTGCTCAATCTGGCTTCCGGCGTTTTTTCCCTGTTGATTTCAGCATAAAATGGGCTGTTGTGACATGCTCGCACAAAGTCTGCCGCGCGACTTTGGTCTGCGGCATTTTACCTGTAAATCTCCGCATAAAATGGGCTCTTGTGACATGTCCATGTGCATTTCGATTGCATAGGCTCGCGCACAAAGTGTGGGCCCCGGTCGTGGGGCACGGCATTTACCCTGAGAATTCTCGCATAAAATGGGTCTTGTGATGTCTCCGTCTGCATTTCAACTGCGGAGGCTCGCACACAACGGTTGCCGTCCTCCTGAGGCGCGGAATTTTTCCTGTAAATTCTCACATAAAATGGCTCTTCTGCGATGTCCAAGTGCATTTCGAGTGCGCAGGCTTGCACAAAACGGCTGTCATGGTCCTGGTGCGGCATTTTTCTGTAAATTTTCGCGTAACATGCTTCCAAGTGCATTTCGACTGCGCAGGCCCGCGCAAAGTGTGACGTCCTCTCCTGTAAAGGTCCTCGTGACAATATCTTGTGCAGATCCTGTTGAAATCCTCTCAAAGGTCCTTGCCTGATCTTGCACAGATCCTTATGATAAGATCTTGTGACAATCCTGCTGAAATCCACTAACAGGTCCTTGCATGATCTTGCACAGATCCTTATGACAAGATCTTGTGGAGATCCTGGTGAAGTCCTCTCTAAAAGGTCTTTGCATGATCCTGTACAGGTCCTTGTGCGAAGATTTTGTGGAGATCCTGTTGAAATCCTCGCTACGAAGTCCTTCTATGATCTTGCACAGATCCTTGTGAGGAGATCTCCTGGTAATCCTGAAGAAGTCCTTTCTAAGAGGTCCTTGCATGATCCTGTTCACGTCCTTGTGAGAAGATCTTGTGGAGATCCTGTTCAAATCCTCCCTAAAAGGTCCTTGCATTAAGATCTTTAAAATGCTCTCCCTTAACGGTGTTTGTATGGAAATGCTTCTGGGATGCTCATGGGAAGTTCTTGTATGAAGGTCTAGTCAAACCCTCTATTCTTTGATGATCTTGTGTCTCTTCGATGTCCTGGTATAAGGTTCTGGTATTAGGTCCTATTTAACACATTGGCTTCCTACCTCCCACAGTGTTTGAGGTCTCTTGACGGTGTATGTTTTTCTGGGTAGGAGACAAGATGCCCCATGCAAAAGTGAAGTATGGGACGTCGATGGTTGGCTTCATGGGAAATCGAATGCAATTAGAAGTGCTGACACTGAACAACTTGCAGTTGTGACAGGCTGCTGTAGGAACTGGATGTCATAAGGTTGAAGAGAAGCAAGGAGAAGGAAGAGAAAATGATACAAGATATGCAGGACAAAGGGAAGGCTAGGGGATCAAATGTAACAAGATGTGACAAGCCAGCATTACCCCGCATTTGGTTTGCACAACTACCAGTTTTTTGCATGTTTTTGTTGCTGATAACATGCCAGAATCCTTGTAAATTACAGTTACTTTCTTTTCTGTCACCTCATCCGGTTTACCTGCTAAATTCATGCTGCCGGGATCAATATCAGATTCTGTTGGCTTGGGTCAGCCTCATGGATTCGACGCGGGCTCCAGGAGGTTATCGAAACCAATGCAAGGCCTGGGTGTGTATTGTGTAGCTATACAATGCAATCCTTGCAATGTGCAAATTTGATGCGCAAAATCCACCAAAGACCGAAGATACCTTCAGTCCACCCAGTTTAGTGCGGCCCTTCGGTATGTATTTTCAACATGTGAACAGCTTGCTTGTTCAAAAATGGTTCGAACGGTGCCGGGGCACAGACTGGAGTTGTATTTGTCAAAAACGTCAAAGCTTCGAAAGCCTGTCCTTTTCTGCCCTTTCACCCTTGATTCACCACTTCAATGGCCATCCAATGTGCCAGGAAGAACGACTTGGAAGCATACATCCTCGGCATGCGTGGGGGTGATCCTGGCAAGTTCATCGGTGGGCGGCCATCCTTTCATATCCCGTAAAAGCTGTTTGACCACTCCTATATACATAACCTTATGCTCACAAGTTTTTCAACATATCAACGTACCGATGGTGAACAGATACAGGCACAGGACCTTTGAGCCCAGCAATTTAGAACATGGAAGCCGGTCGCAACGTCGTACTGGATTTTTGTGCCGATGCGATCGGGTACAGTAATGACGGATTTGATCCACCACCGATTGGATCCTGTGCGTTCCATGCCGCCACCTGCTTTTCTGCCAGGCATTGCTGAAGGTGGAAAGTATGCTGCCTACGTCAAGGCGGTGTGGAGAAATCTTGAGATCAAGTGGATTGCATATTGGTCGGCAAAGTCGTTTTTCGAACCTTGTCACTTTGTCGCAGCATCCACCTTCTACAAACGGAGCTGCAACAAAGCTGAGTGGCTATTGCGTTCGCAGTTGGATATATAGTCTCAAAAACTTGCTTGTGCTAGCTTCTAGCCGAAGTAACTCTTGCTTTGGCAAAGAATAGGGAGGGGCTGGGACGTTGGATTGTGAGAAAGTTCCCCCGTTCTACCAGTTCTGCCACACACAGATCTGTTTATTGAAGCATCACGATCAGTATCATTGTCACATCACGTCCTCGTGTCATCTATCTGGTCTCTGTATACTTCCTTCATGATTCATCATATTGAATCACAGGCCTTCGGCTTCCGTTTTGGGTTTTTGTCTACTCATGTTCTTTCCCCCTTCTTGAATCTTGAACTATTTAATGACCCTCTGGACATATGCAACACTGGTTCTCCAACTGGACGCTCGGCGGTTGCAACAGATGAATCAACACATCGTTCTGATCTAATACGGCCATGCACACCTACAACTTTCGTGCATCTAAAACTTTCGCGCATCTAAATGCATGTACCTGCCTTCTAGCTTTCATACGTTTAACTGGTTTTCCATATTGCCCCCGTGGCCACCAATGGCCTGACATGTTCTTTGCTCTACTCTGTAGCAACTTCTCGATGTGCTCCCATTGTTTGTTGCCTACGAGGGGTTCCAAAAAGGTGGCCTGAGGATGCCTTAGGGTGTTCCGTCAGCTGCTAAACATGTCCCGTTGCCAAAGAGTTGTGGAGGCTGACGATGCTGCGGCACTGTCAAAGCAGCTGGAGAGCGCCGAGGACAGGAGGTCCTAGGAGTCCTTGGAGTCACCAAGACAAGACTACCTTTGCCCAGCTGTAGGAGTGGCTGTATGACCACCCTGATGATCCAAAGGAAGCTTTCGTCCAAAAGCTCAATGAGCTCAAGGTGCCTCTTGAAAGTATTTATCATTTCATTTGTGCATTTCCATCGCTGCTTCTTTGCTTTCAAACCCTGCTGGGTTGTTTGGAACCTAGGGCAGATTTGTTGGGACTCTTGAAGAAAAGCTTTTGTTGTCCCTGTTTTGATCAGGGCTGGATGAGGACCCATACAAAGCACAAACACATGGACATGCGCCCCTGCGCATTTGTTCTTTCTGCGGTGATGTATATGTAGCTCTTTTTTGAGTTGTTCGTCCATTGCTTTCCTTTCAAACTAACGTCAATCCCCATTTGAAACGACAGCTGCGTTCTTCGCGCCGCTTCAGAAACAGGTTCTTGGAGGACCTGTGGAGTCTCGTGTCTCGGCTGCCAAGTACACAGGCTTATGTGAGGAAGGGCTTGAATTAAAAGAGACAGGAAGGGACGATGAAAATGAATGAAGTTTCATGAAACCTACATCAAAGATCATCAAAGTACAAGTACGAGCTCACCATCAGCTCACCCTTCTCACATGACTCACATGCCCTTTGGAGGTTACCGCAATGACATGCGGCGTCCAGAGCTGATCAATGCTTTGGAAGAGTCAATCGTTCGATTCAAGGCAAAGCGCCCAGGGAAATGCCCAAGTGGAGATGCGAAAACGATCGGAAAATGACCAAGACTAAGTACAAATAGTGTGTATTTCAACAGAAACTGAGGTGCGCTCTTAATTACTTAGTTTGTCATTGTCGAAGTACGCTGCTCATCATGAGATTTTAACCGATTTCGCCTGAAACATGCCTGGGTAAAGGATTAGAGCGGTTACCAATGGATTGGAGTAGCTTTTTGACATTAGTTGGATATAGTTGGGATACTTTGCACAAATATGTGTTAATTTCATTGAATGACTTGACATTCATGCAGTCTTGCATCGCCTTCATTATATATATATATATATGTTTTTATATTTATATATACACTTGTGTATTGCACGTACATCTGCGTATTTTTACACAGAGAACACACATTTATACATATATATATATCTATCTCTCTCTCTCTTTCTTTTATATATAGACACAATTTGTCTATGTGTATACATATATATATATATATATATATCCATCTTCACTGTGTGTTGAATACTGTTGAATACACTGTGCACTGATGTCCATTGATAAACTGACTGTTTATGTCACGGGAGATGTTTTGGGAGATGTTCGGCACAGAGGCGGCTGCACAGAAGCCTACCCGGAGCATCACGGACAATGCGAAGCTTCAGGGCTTGGAGAAGACATGTGATGAGGCACGTGCCACAAAACCACAGTCGTGACACCAACGCATAGGCTGTAGGCCTTAGAGCTGATTTAGGCTGACAGTGGCTGATAGCATGTGTGAAAAAAGTCAAGGGGCATCATGGAGCATCATGGAGCATTGTGAGCCCATGTAAGTTGCTGCAAGCGCTGGAAACGATTAGAAACGTATAGAAAAGTATTGATAACGTTGATGATATTGGATGATCAAAATACAAGTCGTACCCGGGCAAGCCGGGAGCGGAAGTTTCAAAATTGAAAAGCTTATAGCTTATAGAGCGGGGCAAAGACTGTGTCCATAGGATGCGGCGAAGGCTTTTGTGCTTCACAGCAACAATCTCTCGACTTGTCAATCTGATGCCATGTCTTGTGAATGTTGGATCTTTTCCCATGTCATTTTTCTGATCTCATCGCGTTGCAGCTTCTCTTGGAAATTGCTCATTGCGTCCCATTGTCACCGAAGTCTGTGTCATCCCATCTCATTTCAACTCATCTCATCTCAGCTCATGTCTTCTCAGTTTTTTCACCTCATCTCATCTCATCCCATTGTTCTCTTCTCTCCCCATGTCACCTGAGCATGTCTCATCTCTTCCCATCTCATCTCAGCTCATATCAGTATTCCACAGCTCTTCTCAACTCTTCTCAGCTCTCCGCAGCTCATGTCAGCTCATCTTGTGTCTTCTCATCTCTTGTCTAAATCTTCTCACATCTTTCTAGGCTTTTCTCCTCAGCTGATTTCAGCTCTTGTCAGCTCGTCTCACCTCAGCGCACTCTCAAATCATCTCAGCTCTTCTCTGGCCCAAAACCTGCTCCAAAAACGGATCCCAGCGCCAAAGCAAGCGACCCCTACGCTTTCTACAGAGAAGTTTTTGCACAGAGAAGCCTTTACACAGCTTTTTCACATAGCAAGCTTTCACACAGAGAATCCCCTGCACAGAAAAGCTTTACACAGAGCAGCTTTTACCCACAGCAAGCTTTTGCACACAGCAAGCCTTTACACACAGCAAGCTTGGAGAAGCTTTTGCACAGAGAAGCTTTTACACACAGAAGCTTTTTCACAGAGCAAGCTTTCACACAGAGAAGCCCTTGCACAGAGAAACATTTACACAGAGAAGCTTTTAAACACAGAAGCATTTACACAGAGAAGCTTCTACGCACACCAGCAGCTCCAAAACAGGATCTCCACGCCAAAGCCCAAAAAAAATGAGTCTGAAGCACTTTTTTTTAATGTTAAAAGGAAAATGTCAGCGCCAAAACTGAGAAAATCCGCTACCTTGATGCAGCCACTCCACTACGATTTACGATGTCCAGCTGCAAGAGACATTTGTATTACGCACGCAACCGGGGCACCAAGCAACCTTGACGCAGCCATTACAGTGCGATCTGCACAGGCTGAGTTGCAAAACGCAGTAGAACTACGCGCAACGGCGTCAGAAATTGCAGCTCCAAAACTGGAGCTCGGCGCCGAAGCAAAAAAGAAAATGATTTTGAAGCACGTTTTAAAGGAGATTTTGAAAGGAAAATCACAAGCGCCAAAACTGAGAAAATATGCTCACAAAGCGCTGTTGCAACCTTGATGCAGCCACTCCATTACGAATTACGATGTCCAGCTGCAAAAGAAAATAGTATTACGCACGCAGCCGTGGCACCAAGCAACCGTGACGCAGCCACTACAGTGCGATCTGCAGAGACGGAGTTGCAAAGCACAGAGTAGAACAACGCGGCGTCAGAAATTGCAGCTCCTCGGCGAGACTTCCCTCAAAATCTGACAGTGGAAGATGTGAAAACGAAGCTTTCATGCGAGACTTTCCTCAAAAGGTGAAAGTGGAAGATGTGAAAATGAAGCTTTCGTGCGAGACTACGGAGGTGTTTTCTAAGAAAAATGATAACCATATCTTCTTTAATACAGGTTTTATACGTGGCCATTTTTCTAGGATACCTCAAATAGGCTTGATGTCGGAAACAAGTGGAGACAAGAATTCGGGAAGGCGGACACACCATCCAACACAGGCACACATGTGGGGAGACAATGAGAGACAAGGGGAGGCATGGGGAGACAAGATCTCGGGAAGGCGGACACACCATCCAACAGAGGCACACATGTGGGGAGACGAGACAAGGGGAGACAAGACCTCGGGAAGGCGGACACACCATCCAACACAGGCACACATGTGGGGACACAAGGGGAGAAAAGGGGAGACAATACCTCGGGAAGGCGGACACGCCATCCAACACCAAGGCGGAGACCTTATGAAAACGTTAAGAACCCCTACTGTAACAGCACGGCGATTGGGGAAAAATCTGCTACACGGAAGTATATATTTCTAGACTTCTTTTTTTCAAGTCATGATCATCCACCATCGGTGATGCCCGCGAATTGGAGGCAACGTCCCGGTCCCATTCTTTGCTTTTTATTTTCAACCTTGTACACCAGTATGTAAACGTTTCCCTCACAACACTTGACCTGAACATGCTCCACAGAAAGTATTGCATGTTGGGCCGTTTTGTTCACAGGTACGCAGTTGGCTCTCTGATATGCCCCTTGGCATACGGTACACGCTGAATCGTTTGCTTGACATGGGTAGTATTTTTTGTGCGTACTAAAAGGATGAAAAGCACTTGAAGTAATTGAGTCATATTTGGATATATTTGGGACATCTGGGTTCTTCAAACAGGGGGTTGATTGTGGTTTGTTTTCGCTTGGAATCTAGATCAGTATCTATTGTGCCTGTGCAAGTGGTGCTCTAGAAAAATTGCTTGCTGCGACGCTCACTTGTTTCGGTGGAGCTGTATCAGATTGCGTGCGCTCCTCACTCAAGGAAGGAACAGCAGTCCAAGCTGTCCAAGCTGGATGATTCAATCTTGACAACAGAAACTTTGGAGGCGGGGGAAGTCCTTTGATGCCATGGGATTCATAATGCAATGAACTTCTCAGATATGATCCTAAATGCGAATAGTTTGAAATGCAGGAAGCATCTGGGATCTGTGCATCCCTCGAGGCAAAAACGGAGGAACTCATCAAAGTTGCTGATTCCGTACTGGGGCAAAGCTGCTTGGCATTGCTTTGTGTCAGTCACTGCTAAAAGTACTGGAGGCGTTCATTCGATGAAGTCACTTGATGTCAACTGTGAAAATAGCGAATAAGAGCAGGGTCAAGCCAAAGAAGTTTCTGCCGAGCTGCAGCCACAGGCGACTCTGCTGCGCCAAACGGTTCAGGGAAAGCCGTGGATGCAGACGCGACAGCTGGCCATGGAAAAGGGTGAAGCTGGTAACCCTTATTTACCGGTTTGCAGGGTTTGACGATTCCCGCAACTACAGCAGTGTACAAATCACTTCTCGCAGATGATTGAGAGGAAGGGTGGCTTAAAGGTGCTCAACCTACCAAATACAGGCAGAAACGGACAGATAGATGGAAAGATAGAGACAGAGATGGAGAAGGAGACAGGGATAAAGAGAGAGAGAGAGATGGGTAGGTAGATAGGCAGGCAGGCAGATAGATAGGTAGAGAGATAGAGAAAGGGGGAAAAAGAGAGGTACAGAGATACAGAAATTGGGAGAGGTTTGCAGAGAGATGGATAGATAGGCAGGAGACGATTTAACTTTGAATTGGGTTTTCGTTAACTCAGCAAAAGTTGATCTGTCACCCCTTGAAGTTGCTAGTTTTCGCATACTGTAGAAAAAAGCCACGAAAAGCTAATAAATTTCAATTGTAAGCTTACTAGGGACAAGCTTACTTTTAAAAAACGAAGGAAAGAAGAAAGAGGTTTGAAGTGGGCAAGTCCAAAAAAAGGCAGTGGCCATACTTCGGTCAAATGTAAGAAAAACAGTGTACCTATGGCCAATTGCAACCCAAAGGATTTACAGCGGGCAAGTCCAAATAAGGCACTGGCCATACTTCGGTCAAAATCAAAAAATAGTGTACCTATGGCCGTTGCAACCCAAAGGAAAAATTAGGAAAAGAGAAAGGAATGGGCACTTCGCAAAAATTTAGGAAAGAGAAAAAGGAAAGGAAAAGGAAAGGAAAGAGGAAAGGAAATGAGAATAAGAAAAGAGGAAAAGACTCATCCAGCTGATTGGGTCAAGAAAAGGGAGCGGCCATACTTCTGTCAAAATCAAGCGAAAAAATTGTATGCATGGCCAGTGCAGCTTAAAGGAAGAAGGAAAGGGAAAAGGAAAGGGAAAATCAGAAAGGAAAGGGAAAAGGAAAGGAAAGAGGAAAAGGCTCATCCAGCTGATTGGGTCAAAAAGGCAATGGCCATACTTCTGTCAAAACCAAGCAAAACATTGTATCATCACCGCCCTTTTCGTGGGGTGTAAGCAAGGGGGACGTACACAAAATGTAAGCTACAGTTTTGACCCCCCGGGAAGAAATCCGAGGGGGACGGCTATTTGTATGTTAGGCCCCTCCCAGGTCCAAAAGCAAGCACCATAATAGATACATTTGATGGGGGGGCCCAAAGTCCGTAATACCCCGTACACCTGTTTTTGTTTTGGATTTAACCATACCAGGACAGAGCATGAGTACTGAGCACAGTTTATATACGCTGCGAAGGCTCAAGAGGGAGATATAGAGGGATAGCTTGTACTCTAGGCGCTGCACTGACTGGCTATTGGCCGACAGAGGAAAACTAACTAATGCTTGCAGCCTGGGAAGGCGCTCTAGCTGATCCTATCAGGACGCTATTGCCCCTCTTCAAGTGGTAGCGGAGCTGCGATCCTTCAGTGAAGGTGAGCTCCAGGTAGAGCCCGATATGGCAAGCCATGGCTATGATGATGACTTCGACATTGTCGATGCAGATGGCTGGAATCAATATGACCCTTTTGCAATGGGAAGAGCACCCCAACAACCAGCAATCAAGATGACTCAGCAGATGACCACGAAGGTTGCCCCTGCTTATGATGGAAGGAGCAGTTTCTTTGCTTTCGAAGATGCAATTGATGATTGGTGCGACATTACAGAGTTGGAGCCTGAAAAACGTGGACCTGCACAAATTCTTGCGACCCTATTGTTTCATCAAGGGAGCCCAGGCAGTGTTCTTGCGTCGGTTCATGCAGTTCATGAAACACAACAGAGGCACGATGGATTTACAAAAGAGGATGAGCTTACTGGAAATAGACTTATTGAGTCTTGGATGGATCTCCTAACAGATTTGGAGACCACTAGTCCAGAAGCAATTGCACATGTTGCACGACGTCGTCAAGAACACGAAGCTCGACAAGCTGAACTTGCAGGCATTGCAGCAGCTACTCCAGGACAAGAACCACATGTCAATGTACCTTGGACAGGTGAACTGGTATTGGCAGAATTTCTACAACTCAACGCAGACAGAAGAGCACAACAGAGATTGGCATTTCCCTTGGGTGACAACTTGTCAGCATTGATTTTTGTAAGTCTGGCAGATTTGACGCAAGATCAGAGAAACACACTCACTAGCATCATGACACACCGTGGAAAAACATTAGATCAGTACAATGTGCAAGAACTCAGAGATTTATTCCTGGGCATGTTTTGCACTACGAGAACAGCAGTTGACAATCCTATGATGCAACCCTCTGGCATTGGACAGAGAAGATCTTTCCTCGTCCTGGAAGAAGGTGAATTGGAAGGAACCGATGCCTATTGGGCCGAAGATGATGAAGATGGCGCAGAAGGATTCCTGGATGCTTTAGAAGATGTTTTCTGGGTATATGACGACGCTGAATTCACATGGCATCAGAAAAGGTTCCAAGGCAGACAGACCAGACGAGGCAAAGGTAAAGGCAGAAGGAAAGTAAAAGGAAAAGGCAGAGGAGGAAGAAGATTTTTTCAGATCAAGGAAAGGAAAAGGCCGAGGAAAAGGAAGAAGAAAAGGCCGCTCCCACATGGTGAGTGAAGAAGGATATGAAGAAGAATGGAATGACGGAGATGAATTGAATGATTCCTATGATGGCTATTGGGCTGATGTTCAAAACGGGAATGAAGGCTATTGGGCGTATGAAGATCTGTGCTACATAGATGAGTATGGATATTTCCAGGGAAAAGGAAAGAGAGGCAAGAAAGGCAAGGCTGATGAAGGCAAAGGAGGAAAACCAGGAGATGGAAAAGGAAAATCCAACTATGTTCAACCTCAGACCTCGTCGACTCCTGCCATACAGAATCAACAACCACAACAACAACAACAACAGCAAGCTCATTACTCTTCAGCAGCATCATGCTCGGTTTCTTTGCAGAGACTGACCCAGCACGTGTGGATGTTTTGACAGCCACCTTTCAAGAGCAAGGGCTCAAGAGACGCACTCGTCGAGGAGGACAAAACCAACGTGATGAAGCTGCACGGCAGAACAGAGAAGGAACCAAGAGATTTCCTGTCTTGGTTGGAGATCTTGGAGCACTTCGACCAGGTCTACAACGTCGACCAGCACCAGTGCGCAGAGAAGTTGGTTTACAAGACAGTGAGGCTTCGTAGAAGCCGTTGGCAAAAGGCACATCATTGTTTATGCATGGATACTCTGAGAACACAGAGATACCCTCTCTCACTCTGAAGGCCCTGTGAAGATAGAGGTATCAGGTGAGCAGAAGAGTGCTTTTTCATTTCATACCACACAACCTGTTCAGGCATGAGAGAATGGATTCGCTTTTCACACAGAGAATTCTGCGCCACCAACTGTATGTATCCTTGACCTTGGATGCACAAGAGCTATAGGCTCTCGAAAGGCAGTTGAAGCTTGCTGCAGATATGTTGACTCACATCCCAACAGTGGTCTTTGGTATGACAATCAGCCAACAAGTTCAAGATTCTTCTTTGCAAATTCTCAACAATCCTAGTGCACTGAGAAGCTTGTGATATTCATGTATGATACTGGATGGAACACTCAGTTCACAGAATTTGACATTGTCAAAGAAGGTGATGTCCCATTGTTGATGTCACTTCCACAAATGAGAAACCTTGGGTTCCAATTCGAACTCACTCCAGACAGGGCTTATATGTCCTGCGCACGTATTGGCATGAGAGAAATGGTCTTGAAGACAGCCATTAGTACTCATCTCATTCTGGATTTGCAAGATATTGCATGGTACATGAGCCAAGTACATTTCAAAACTTCAAAAGTCAAGAGTTTCTTCTCACAACACGATCACTTTGAGTACAGCCAGATTGCTGTGAAGCAAGATGTTCAAGAAGAAGAAGAAGAAGAAGAAGCTGTGGTGACTGGTGACTACTGGCAAGTCGATGGACTACGTCGTGAACCTGTCAGGCATCACAGAGACAAAAGACAGAACCTATATGAAATGCAAAGATCTGAGACAACTCCAGTTCTTCAAGATCAACTTCTTGATGAGAGAGAAACTCACACTCAGTACCAGAAGATCAAGGAAGAAGGTTCTCCACAAGGACAACTGGCGCACCGAGAAGAAGAGGTTTTCTGACAAGATGGCGGAATTCTGGAAGGGCAAGGCGGTCTACAAGATCAAGAAGGACTATGACATATGAGACTCCCGAAGGTGTTGTCCGAAGTGACATTGATCGTCAAGCCAAAGTTTTCAGAGGAGAGATCGATGATTTGTTTCACCCTGAGTCAGCCTCTTCTTATTGACCAGGTGTGCAGAAGAAGCCAAGCTCTCAAAAAGGAGAAGTAGGCACCGCTCTCAAAAAGGAGAAGTAGGCACCGATTTCGAAGGGACCACGCTTGAAAAAGATCGAGGTAGGTCCTCCAGCAGCAAAGAGGCACGTAGGTAAGCAGAAACCAAAGGTTGCAGATGACTCTCAAGGAGGTTCATCACGAAAGAAGGTTGCTGTTTCTTATCCCAAGCGACAAGATGATGATGAAGATGAACTTGATGAGGTTATAGGGAAATGAACCTTGAACCAGATGAACCTCAGGTCATTGAATCCAATGCTTCTGCTCCTGCACGTGCACGTGGTAAGCAAGATTCAGAAAGTCAAGTTGAGAAAGTAGGTAGTGAAGCTCTTGAGCCTAGAAGGGTTTCTGTTCCACTACCTGGTAGTGAAGCGCAAGCCATGACACCGTCATACAAGAAGATGCTGAGAAAGCTTCAAGATAGTGTAGAATTGTACAAACTTCATGTCAAGCACTACCACATGTCTCCTACTCAATTCAGACGAAGGACTTCCATGTTGGGACTTCCTGACTCCGCTTATGAAAAGATGAAGACATGTACCACAAGCGTCGTGTGCGCAGTACTTCAAGTGCACCACCGCCGAGAGCCAGGGTTTCAGGCATACGAGCTTCCAATTTTGGGGATGTCATCTTTGTTGATCATGCC